TTTTCTTGGGGTTTGACAACTTGTTCAACTTGGTTTGAAGTTTCATAGATGGTGGTGGTGGTGGTGGCTGATGGACCTTGAAGTGCCCAAAGAGCCAGGGTCGGGAGCCAAGAGCTATAGGTCCAAAAGGCCTAGAAACGCAGAGGTGTCAAGGTCTTTAGAGGCTCAAAGCATCTGCGCTTCAAGGTTCACAAAGTACTGCGCCCGCCACGAAATCTCTGCATCAAGATTCACACCGGGCAGCCCTGCCAAGGCAATTCGGGCCAAAAACAGCATCAAGATACCAAAACGCAGCTTTCGCCCGCGAAACGAGCCAAAAGTCCACAGCACCACAATGAGAGCGCAGTCGAGAAGAGCACCCACTCGTGCCCACCAGATTCAGCGAGGCTGAGCAGTTGAAATGCACTTCGAAGATCTCGAGGTGAATGAATGTATTGCAAATAGCAGCGAATTAGCCGGATGCGGATGCGAAAACCTCCGATCAAACACCCGGCCTTACCCCAAGAACCCTGGTGGGGCCACATTGTTTGGGAATAAAAGAGAGCGCTGCTGCAGGGAGGACTGGGGCTGTGCTGCTGAGATGGGGTGCGCGGGCGCTTGATAGCAGTTGTGGTGTGAGAAACGCCGCGGCCGTCTATCAAGCGTGTACCTAGTTGGTGTGGTTCTTGCAGCACCCTGAACAACATGCACCTGTTGACAGCACTTGCGCGAAGCCAAAACATAACTGAATGGCAGAGGTCAAAAGGGCGTGGGTGTAGAGGTCAATCTTGTGATATGTATTGTATATAGAGATAGATAGAGAGAGATAGAATAGATAGATAGATAGATAGATAGATGGATAGATAGATAGATAGATAGACAGACAGACAGACAGACAAACAGACAGATAGATAGATAGATAGATAGAGAGAGAGAGATATAGATAGATAGAGAGATATAGATAGATAGAGATATATAGATAGATAGAGAGATGTAGATAGATAGATAGATAGATAGAACATAATTAGATTAGATATACATAGATATACAGGTGGTGCTTTCAAGATCTGTTAGGCCATTGGCGCTCACCAGGGAGAACTTTCGTGCTTCATGGGTTCGTGTCTGCATGATGTGTACATTTCCAGGCTGCCGCACCAGCTCAGCACTTCACCGCTCTTGCCGTTGAGCCTTACATTAAGTGATTCAGCGCTTCGGATTATATAAGCCCTTGAATGAGTTGAACTTCCATCTACCTGGCGTAAGTAAAAGCTTGGTGCAAGACTTGGAGCCTGAAGAGCTAGTCAGTCCCACCACCACCACCTGTGACCCAGGCCTTGGAAATATGATCGCGCGCGAACAAGTCCATTTTTGACTCAGGTTTCTAGTCGAAATAGTAATTATGTGTCTTTCTCCTAAGGGCATCCAAACAAAACTCTGCAGTCTCTGAGTATCAAACAACAACTCTGTTGCTTGCAGGTTGGAAGGCTTCAGCGACAGCTGCGCACCAGCGCCTCATCTCTGAACTGCTTCAAACACATGAGAACTTGAAGTTTTTCTAGAACAATTCCTTTACATTCAAATCTGAAAGGTCGCAAAGTGAAGAAGACTCCTCGTGAGTTCCTATGCCTTTCTTTACTGGTGCCCACCGTTTCAAGCTAACCCTTTCGCAGTGCCACTTGACAATACAGAAGCGAACACTTGATTTGCAAGATGCGCGTAGACTCTGTAAATTTGTACCAACAAATGATGAATGCAAGATGCACGTAGACTCTGTAAATTTGTACCAACAAATGATGAATGTAAATAACGGTTAACGGTAAGCATTGACACCTGCAAAACCAAAGTCAGCAAAACTCAAAATTCAAAGTGTGGTGGGTAGATGCGACTGCTGTTGGTCACTGTGGATGCGACTGGTCACAACCAAAAGCCGCTCAACATTGTCAGGGTTGACGCCCCTCGACACACAGTACCTGTCTTGGATGTCACTACCCAAATCGGAAAGAACACATGCAATAATATATATATAGTATAGTATTAGGTATTGTCAAAATTGTTTTGTTTCAAAGACCAGAAAACCCAAAGCCAAAGTAAGGACCTCCCTCAAATAATGCACCAACAAATGTTGACCTTGGGGCCTGAGGAACATAAGCGACTGGCTTGATAGCCTCGTCAGACCCAAAGACCACAAGAGATTCGACCACCAAAAGTCTTGTTTTTTGGCTTGGAGCATGGCAGCTTTCAAGTTTAGTTGCAGTAGAGCTTTGTGCAACTACCTGAGGTAGAGGAAAAAGGAAGGCTTTTGCAGTGGAACACCGGTAAACTGCGACTTTCAAGCTACTTTGAAGCCGAACTTCGGGTGTCTGCTGGCAAAAGAAGAAAGTCACTTCGCAAAGCACGAGAACTTGAACAACTTGCTTTCGGCCAACGGAAAAGAAACACATTTTGGATTCACAAAGAGTAATTTGATATAAAACATGCTCTTATTTAACAAACATACATTTCTTTATGAAAGGCACTCAAAGACTGCAACAGCCTGTTGGAGGTGAAGTGGAAACATGACAGGTTGTGCCCACTGTTGGCGGTGCACCTGCAGGAATACCGTGGCAAGATGAGCTGATTTACACCTGCCTGTTCTTTTTTCCACTCCAGCTCGTGCGAACGGAGGCCTCGTCCTGCTTTTGCTAACTCATTTCTGCGCTGAGTCATTTTTAGCCTATTGTTTGGCATCGCTCTCCCACTTGGAAAAATATGTCGCAACGCCTTCCCAAGGCCTTTTGCAGAATGTGTGGAAAAGATTTGATCCTCTATGGCCGACTTCATAGGGCAATGTTCACTGGGCGGAATTTGTTTGCTAGCTGCTCTGTGCTCATGGACATGGGTCTGATATTTACAGTATGTATGTCCTTATGTGCACGCATGCTTGCATGCCTGGCTGTCTGCCTGTATGTGTGAACTGATCCATTTCGAGCATCGGAAACCAGACCTTCGAATGAACAACCAGTTTCCCTAACAATCTAGGAGCAAAACGATTAGCGCGAGGGCTTCTTCAAGGAAGCTCCACCCCGCCCTCAGGCGGGGGGAACTTTGAAGAAGCGTGAGCTGTCCTGCGTCCTTTCTAGAAGGCAATTTAATCTAGTAGCTAGCTTTACTCGTGTTTTTGTTAAGTAAGAGGGGGGAGCGGGCTGAAAAAAAACGCCAACCCGCGTGGCTCAAGGCCGACAGGGACAGGACATCGAAGCACCAAAGGAAACAGAAAGGGAGGCTATGCGGGTGTGTGTGTTTTGCGGTGGTAATAAAAACATGCCTTTTTAAACTTTACCTTTCATGGAACGATTACTTTAGTAGCCCCATATTTTTGGCTAAAAAACACCAAAAGACACCGTAAAACACACACCCGCATAGCGTCCCAGCAGGGCTTCAGTTTCTTTAATCTTATTTGTGCACTTTGTGGACACAAACAAGATAAAAGCTGATGTGCCATCAGATTTCGTCACCAATAAGGTTTGAAGTGCGCTGAAGTGCAAACAAGTGACACAAAAGTTCAAAGAGGTGCATACAAGTGATACAAAAGTGCAAAAAGCTGACATTTGCAAACCTCACAAATAAGATAAATAGTGATGCAAAAGTGGAAAGAGACGCATACAAGTGACACAAAAGTGCAAACAACTGACATTTGCAAAATCACACAAGTGACACAAAAGTGCAACAAAGTTACACACAAGTGCAAAAAAGTGCAACTCCAGCTCCAGAAAGGTTAAAAATTAATTCAATTAAAGAGCAACAATAAGACAAAGAACGCAACAAAGTGACTCAACTAAATACACGCAACTCACATCCTCCAATTGCCACACTGACAAAGCAAACATGCAGAATGAAGGTTACTGGAGTCCACTGATGCTCAAAAATCAAAGTACTGTTCACATTCATAAGACACACTGATCTCTAAGGCTAAGGGGAACCCTTTTGACTGATTCGAAAAGCCAATCAAGCATCACACTGAATCGCCCCAGAAGAACTACTTGGCTGGCTGTAGTCTCTTACTATGCAGGTGCTTTTCCCACATAATAACCCACCTCATAAGACAAAATTCACTGAGCGCATGTGGTCAAACAACGCAGTCAGTCAGACACTTTGACAAACCTTCATCAAATCTTTCAAGCCTGTGGCTGGTCTACAACGGAACCATGATGGCCCTGGTTGAACGGCGACACCTGTAAGGGCAGCTCTCGTCTAGTGAGCGCACCATGTGGACACATGACAGGGCTCTAAGCTCTCGCTCTCTTTCCACCATCTCATTATGACAGATCATAAGCGACTCTCCAGGCACATCGGCGCTTTGTCCATCAGCAGAAGCTGCATCAGCAACAGCGGCACGGTGCCCATCAGCAACAGCACTGCCCCCATCACCAACAGCTGTGGCACGGGGCCCATCAACAGCAATGACATTCGCATCAACAACCGTGGCACTGTGCCCTTCAGCAATAACTCCAGTGGTGTTCCCATCATTAGGCCTAGCAGCCCCTGCCTCTGGAACAGGAATTGCTCTTTCTGGGGTTGGCGCAGCGTGCAAAAGGATCGATGCATTATTGATCACTGGCGGTCTTCCTCCGGCTTTTCCCCTGATCTGACCAGCCCGCTTCGGTAGCGCATGAATTGATCGCCAAATCTTCCATCTCATGAAATCTTACTTGCGCAGTGCCCTTCAGCAACAGCAGCTAAGAATGCAAATGATGACAGTCAGCCAGCTTGCGTTTAGTTCTTGCGCCTACTATGTCAAGTGACTCATGAATGAATGAATGATTGATTGCTTGAATGAATGAATGAATGACTGACTGAATGAATGAATGTCAGTCAGTGAAGGTTGCACCGCCCAAAGGTTTAGTTGGTTACAAAACTCACAAATTGAAAACAAATTCTTTCTAAAAGCAAATGGAAGTATCAATAGTAATATACTCTCAAATCCGAAAAAAAAACTCATAGCAAAATGAGGATGGCAACGAAATGCTGACTCAAACACAGTAATTTAAAGCGTTTACTTGTCGAGCCTTTATTGAACCTCACGTTCAGATGCAACGGTGACAAATACACTTGTTACACTTTCAATCAATCTTAACAGTTCTTAACATTTTCAGGGCACAAATGTGCACAAAAACGATTAAATAAGCTTCGAGATTCAAGATTAAGTAAGCTTCAAATGAGACGTGATGTGCTTCAATGTGATTAAAGTTTTCCTGTGAACAGGGACGCCCTGGAGAAGGGTGCCCATGTGGAGGGTCATCTTTAGTTTGGGGACGGTGAGTTCCTCTTTTGGGCGCAATTGCCATGTTGTCACGACTGGCAACGTTCCAGAACAGCTTTCATGCGATCCTTGCGATCCTTGATGATGGGGGTCGCGATCTCGATGGCCGTGCGACGTTCGGAGAGCTTCATGCCTGAGGTCAACGACTGTGCAGAGTCGAAGAGGCTTTTGGCGTCTGTCGACACTGTTGATTCTCCAAACTTTGCCATCGCATCAGCTCCTTCGATGGGCAAACTGAAGTCGGTGAGCAGCGTGAGGAAAACCTTGCACCATTCCAACTCTTCGATTGCGGAAGCTGAGGCTTGTGCTTCGGCGGACAAACTTGAACGGCAAAGTTGCTGAAGCTTTCTGGAGTGCCAGGTCAGAATGGACAGGGGCATAGGTTTTCCTTCCTGCAGCTCTTCGTGGGAACAAATGGAAAGAAGCATGCCGCCCTGACATGTTCCATCAGGCCTCACTGCACAAGCTGCGTCCGCGTAGAAACCCATACCCAAGCTGGAAAGCCATGATCATGAGCTCTAAACTTGAGCTGCATCGTTGATGCCCTTTATGGTCGGGTTGGCAGTTGCAGCCTGAAGCAAAGAAACTGAGGCGCCCAACTGTGGTAGGCATTGGTTTGCAGGCTCCTCAATTGTCGCTGTTCACGTTCATCGCGTGGATCATTCACCATGGTTTTCCGGCTCTTGCCCAACGTGATAGGCTTGATTTTGCGCACATAGTTTGCCAATTACACTGTGATTTGAGCATAGTCCAAACTTTGCTCCAAGTCAGCGCCGCAAAACATGACCCCAGCTCCTTCTCCAAAGTCCCACGCGCCAAACCTGAAACGTTTGGCCAGATGGACCAAGCGGCTGTGGAAGTAGTTGCCTTCGATCCTCGCGACATTTTCACCACTGCGTATATGAAGTCGCTGACATGAAGGCCAAGGACACTACCAACAATCGTGACCTGCTTGTTCCACTCAAAGCAACAAAAACGGCCATCCTTGTTGGCGGCTTCGCGCGTGGAGACGTAGAGACAAGCGTCGAGTGGATGAGGCGCAAATCCCAAACTCTTTTGGAGGACATCATCGGCCGAGTCTCTCCATTGGCGAGGTGCTCTCACATCTCCAAAGGCGGGCTTGGTGGCTTTCACGACTTCCCAGGGCTTGAGGTCGCGCATTCTCTCCAGCCTTCTCCGCGTGTCAGAACTTGGTCGCACATAGGTCTTGGTGGTGGAGTCAATCTCATTGGACTGCATGAAGGCGTTCATGTCAGCAGAAAACAACCTCCAGCGCTTATGCGCAGTCCAAACATAGGCGCAGTGACGACCAACCACGGAGAGCGTAGGACTTTGGGTCTCCAGCTTTCACTCCAAGACATCTCGGTGTTTGAGCCCTTGAATGATCACACGAGCATTGGCCTTGTGACCTTCTTTCGTTGGCTTTCACTGGCTTCCACCTCTGAAGAAATCTTGCTAAAACCTTCAGCGACCCCGGATTCTGGCACAGGTCGCCAGGCTTGCTTTTCAAACCACACCTGCAATGCAGCATCCTTTGCTGCATCGAACTCCTTCCTTTGGTCAGGAGTGAGATGCTTTTCGTTGAAACCTTCAGCAACGGCCAGCCCTTCGTCGATGGCATCTTGATCTTCTTGGGCTGGCGTGTGTTCATGAAACTGGCGATCATACCCA